GGGGGGGATTGTAGTATTTGGGGAGAGTAATGACCAGGCGGTCAAGCGGTAAAGTGGTCAAGCAGCGGAATGTGAAGGGAGACAACACAAGTACCCACAAGGGGAGAGAAGCAGTGGGGGGGGGGACGGGAATGGGAAGGTCAGGATACAAACATAAATACATAAATGGTTACGATCTGCAATAGGCAAAGATAAATACACGAATAAATACAATCTTTTTTTTTTAAAGGAAAAAATGGCAGAGATGAGATGAACGTTAAAAAAATAGTGGAGATGAACGTCAAACAACGTATAAATAAATACAACTGACAGAACAGACATCAAATGATCATAACTGCTGCACACAGACACACACAAACACACATACACATACACACACACACACAGACACACACACATGGTGCGTCTCTGGGAACACCTGCACTGACTGACTTGAAGAATTTCATTACAACACAGATCACAAGGTTCCGGTTAAGATCATAATGTTCTGGTACAGATGAATTATAACTAGCTACGTATATTTATTATATATCTGGAAGATTTCACACGAGTAAAAGAGAACAAAAGCAAACACAAAAACAAAATGAAAACAGCGTCTAGTGCAGACTGGCATAGCGTCCGGTCATCTCCTTGTGGAGATCTTGAGGGTAGAAGCATAAGTGCACATGACAACAGGTCTAAACAGGTTTCTGATTATAAAAATTCACACAAGCCTAAAGACACAACAGGTCTTTGGAAGGAAAAAACGCAACTGAAAAAAAGGCCCAACAGCTTTCTGACATGTAAAAAGACACAACACTTCTGTGATGAGTAAAGACACAACAGTTTTCCGACAAGTAAAATGACACAACATTTTTATGGCAAGTAAAATGATACAACAGTTTTACGACAAGTAAAACAACACAAATGACACAACAGTTTTCCGACACGTAAAAACGATACATCTGCCAACGCACACGTCGTGTTCTCGGCCCAGACCAGGTCGCTGGACTGGTCTCCCTTGTTGGCCACGACGGTCACGTTGTAGGCGGTGCCAGGCTGCAGGTCGGGGAAGATGTGCTTCAGTTCTGTGCCCGTGTGGCTCTGGGGACGGACAGAGGAGGGAGTGAGGGGAGGGGGGATGGACAGAGTGAGAGGAGGGGGGAGCATGAGGAGTGAGTTTAGTTTTTGTAATAGTTTTACGGCACTTGCAACACAATAAGGTCATGTACGTGCCGAAGATTAGAGGTGTTACAAGAGAGTAACACATACACAAAAAAGAAGGAGGGGAGATAAGGACGATAGATGTTTGATAGGAAAGAAGGAGGGGAGATAAAGACGATAGATGTTTGATAGGAAAGAAGGAGGGGAGATAAGGACGATAGATGTTTGATAGGAAAGAAGGAGGGGAGATAAGGACGATAGATGTTTGATAGGAAAGAAG